CAGACACGGACAGTACAGACCGTTGTGTCAGAGGAGGAGAGGACCAGGGATAGAGTGACAGTACAGACCATGCCAAGTAGAAATTGAAGTATAAGAAAGTATACATATAAGTATACAGGATTAGGATAGAATAAGCTTGAGGGGACTTAGAATCAATTTGTGGAAAGTACAAACACCTGCAAATAAAGTCACGTGCAAACTCCGACATCTGAAAACTCAATTCTAAGTTCTCAGTTCCCCATATCTCCTGCCCATCTAGGGCTCAGCAGTTTGTACTGCTGAGTCTTTTCTTTGACTCATAACCTCCATCGCTCAGTGGTCTGTACTGCTGAGTCTTTTATTTGACTCATAACCTCCATCCTCAGCGGTCTGTACTGCTGAGTCTTTTCTTTGAATCATAACCTCCATCTCTCAGCGGTCTCTACTGGGCGTCTTCCCCCACCCTCTCGAATAGAGATTCACCCTGTTCGCCCCATTATCTCACCCAGCCCATGTCACCCGTCAGGCGACTCTGTCTGATCTTCGGACATCCCTCCACTTGCACTGTTATCTCGCCCAGTCCATATCATTTCACCCGTCAGGCGATTCTTTCTGGTCTTCGGTCATCCGTTCCGTACCTCACCACATTATCTCACAGATTTCGCCCACCCCATCCATTTCACCCATCAGGTGTTCTTTTCTGATCTTCAGCCATCCCTCCACATTACATGGAGGGGTTTACGCAACAAAAACAGGAGACAGCATTAAGATGTTACAACATTTTTACATCACAAGAGAATGTCATCTTTCCCCGAATCATTGTGTCGTCTCCAAGCTCTTCTGATATTGTCTTCTCCTGCCTTCACCGCCTCAAAAAATACCCTTTTGGCTTCTGCAGCAATCTTGTCGTGTCGGGTCACATTGTGAATATCCTCACCCACACCTCCATCTCTCTCTGCTTCTTGAATGACTTCGATAAGTTTTCCTGCAAGTTCATGTAGCATCAATATGTTGCTCTGTTCGTCCACTTCCTGGTGGGCTTCTGGTACTTCTTGAATACCTTAGCACTTTGGCAGAAGTTGTTATCCGAAAAGTCAAGCACTTGAGTCATTCCCATGTGTTGGGTGAGGTCTCTTGACCATGTTGCCACTGTGTCCTGCGAAAGTATGAATTTGTTGACTGCTGCTGAGCTGCCACTTGACTTACGAAGTAGTTTGTTATCAAAAAACAGATGATAACCACCAAGGCACCAAAATGAACCAGGATTTTGAACACATGTGTAATCACATGCGACATAGGCCGGGAATCTTTAGAGGTAAGAGTTTCCTTTGCCGGTCCATAGTTATAGACCCATAAGTTGATTGTAGCCTTTCCATGGCCTAGCACTGGTGAAGCACTGGCGACTGTACAGCGCCTGTTAAGATCATGCGTCTTGGGAGATAATCAGTACCCATCCTACCCTTTGAATAATTTGACACCTACTGCTATTGTCTGCACCAAGCCCATATTGGAGTGACAAAGAGTCTCGAATAACTTCCCTGATTTCCTCTCGAATACATACACCAATCCATGATCACTCCCCCTGACGATCAGTTTTCCTTGTGCGGCGAATGCCACCTGCTTGGGGACAGACACACTTGGAGCAGCGGTCATAAGTGTTCGAACTGGTTCCTTGTCACCTTCAAGTTGATATAAAGTAAAACCGTCGGTAGCATTGTCCACCATGAAGACGCTCCTCTTCTGGTTGACTGCTGCATGTCCACTGAAAGAAGGTCAGTGATACATTTGTCAATGACATACCATGGACGCTTACATAACTGATTGGCAGCTATATTCCTTCACCACTGTGCCATCATCACCTTTCAGTTTGATGAAGTTCCAATCATACAGTCCGAAGACATAGACACATCCATTGTCTGCAAATGCTACAGACTTGGGCACTGTGTTATCAAGTCGCACTGAAAACACAGCCTGCAGCTGCGAGTTTGTGTTGAGAATGAGGACTTGAACTATCTTGTCCCTTGTTCCCACTGCAATCCGCGTAGTCGTTTCGGAGGATGTTGAATCCCATACCATGCATGTAATTTCGAAGCCTGATCCAAGCCTCCTAGCACAGATCTCCTGAAAATGCATCTGTTGGATGTTAGCCGAAGGTTCAATGATGAGACCAGGACACTCACATCTACATGGCTACGTCATAAGAATACAACATAGCCCAGCCCAGTTCCATAACAAAGGGTTTCTGCCATGCCCAATCTTGTTGTGACCCAGACAGCGCAGCTGACTGTGCCTCAGGACTCGTGGTGATGAATCGAGCATGTAAGTTCTTTCCGAGATTTGATATCCCAGAGTTTGATGCCCTCGGTCCCTGCTTGTTTGTTAGCACCTCCCATGACAAAGTGCATGTCAAATTACTGCTGCATGCAAGAGCTTGGCCATCATTAGATATTGCAAGTGCATGAATGGACCTGCCATATGTCGAAAGGCGCATTTGATGTTGGAAGTGTTGCTTTGATTTCACGAAGAGTGATGAGGCAAATAAAGACATTATTGCCTGCACAATCTGGTTGGTTGTAGTCGCCAGTTCACCTGCTCACAGCTTATTTATATTAGGTTCCCATTTGTTTTTGCAACTTTTTGTGGATTCCATGGCAATTTGCTAGCCATTTGTTGTTTCCCGCCATTTGTTGTTTCCCGATGTTTGTGTTCATGCTTATGTGACAATTTCATATTTCTATTATATCTAGGACTCATTTATTTGATCTCGTAGGCGACTTCTTTTGTTGATTGTCCTTATTGTTTAATCTCTATATAGGTCTACATTGAGTGGTGTCATTTGGGGATAAATCACATTAGAGGTTATTACAGTTCATGGCCAATATCTTGACCTGCCCTAGTCGTCCCGCTCACATTGCCGCAACCACAACATCATGCTCAACAAATACAACGCTGTCCCTGCTTTCTGTGATCAAGAGCCTGGTGCTCCACCTCCCTTCCCTCTGATGCTCACGGACCAGCTTGAACTATTTGGCAGCACTCACCACTCAACTATGCTCGTTGCTGACGAGATTCTTCCTTCCAGAATCAGTACTGTTGTTCCACCCACTCAGCATATTAAGCACCAGCAACTCAAGGACACGCTGGCACCTGAGTTCAAACTTGCAGTACGGCTGTTCAAGAATGACCACTCTTCCTCGCCATACTCAAAGAAATCGTTCAAGTGTTCACGTTCCCATTCTAAAACGCCCATACCCTCAGATTCATTGGATTCGTTGGATTCAGCATCAGACAGTGGCTCCTCAACTTCGACTGAGAGTCTATCGGAAGATTCAAAGATACCCAAGCCCCCTGGTGAACCTGGTTGTCCAGGGCATGGAGGATACACACTTCACGAGGCTTTAGACTGGAACCCAAAGGTGTATGCTAAGTTCAAGGTGAGTGATGTGCTCCCACCACAGCATGCTATTTGCTCATGAACCTGTAAGAAATCTATGCACCACCTCATTGAAGAACATCTTGATACGACCAAATGTGCTTCTTCCCAAAACCATACGCTCCTGAAAATTGTGCGCGACAAGGTGAGTAGACTATGGATGGCAGTTGTCCACAATTTTATCATTTGTCAGGCTGTCAATGCTTTCCTGGACTTAGAAAACTACAGTGGCTTCTGGCCGCTGAACAATATGATCATGATGCGTTTGAAATATACATCGGGTCGTGCTAGGCAGAAGGAAGCAAAGATGGCTGTGGGCAAGACCAGGACCACAAAAAATTCATCGAAAGTGAGGATAATCCTACTACGAAGCTCATAACTGATACCAATCTACAGTAAACTTGATTCATACTATACACCTGTGTACCGCATTTTACTTGAATTACTAGGGTTGGTGTTGCCGACTTGTCACCTTGCGGAGCGCCATCCACGGAGACAAATAGCTAGATATTGATCGTCATGTAACTCATGTATCTTCGAACCAGCTGGAATATCAATTCCATATCTGCTATCCAGCTTATCACGAACTCACGCCTAACTATCAAAAACAAATCAATGGGATCAGGAGTAGTAAGAGCTTAGTGCTGGGCCCTGATAGAAGTTTAAAGTTTGAGTCGATATAGGGTTGAGTTTGGTGATAATGTTCCTTTATTTATGGGTGTTAAAACTTCTGATGAACTGGTCTCGTGTGATAATTAAGCTTATTTTCCCTTCTTCCCCTGGTGCGATGGTGCGACAGTCTGTACTGTCACATCTGTCCCTTCCATAGCACTATCCCGTCCAGCGCTCACAATGCATGTGACAAGAATGGTGCCATCACAGCGAACTTCATAATGTATTACATACAAATCATTATATATTACTTCAAATCAAACTACCTCGCTGTGCAGCCAGCCAGTGGTTGATCCGAGTGCTCAAGGGCTTCATGATGGTGAGACTACGTGGGAGCTTTGCTTGAGGATGATGTCTGATACTTCGTGTAAAACTGATGGATTCTAGATCAATGAGGAATCAAGGAATCAACATCCAGTGATGCTTACTGATGCATGATGAAATCTGCAAGCAAATTATCCCTGCCTCACATGTTCACAACAGAGCCGGCGCCAGCCCCAATCCTCATAACAACTGCATCACCTCGGAATGTATGGTCGATGCTGCTGAGAAGTGGGTTGGCTCTCAGATGGCAGTGCCGCTTGAAAAAAAATAAAAAACTGATATACATGTCTTCCTTCATGCAAGGTGACAAAACAGTTATGCACATAAGGCTGCACAGTTGCACAATCCAGAAGGCTCTCGGGAACAGGAAAGCGCTTCCCACTGCGTGAGTGATCAGAGCATCGTGTCAACATAGTGACCTGGTGAGGTTTACTCCACAATGAAGAATATAGCCTACACCACAAATGAAGTTCAGCAGTCTTCATGTAGATGTCAGCAAAAATCAAGAGAGAAGCGAGATTATGACTTACAGATGACGTGGGGAAGATATAAATGTGAGTGTTGACCATTGCAGCACAGGAATGACAAATGAAATTAGGTGATGAGTCTAGGCGACCAGCGCTGAGTACAAGGAGTGGACGGTGAACGGTAAACTTGAAAGTGAGCAGTGAAAGACTAGAGTGGGTGATGAAAGTGGGTGATCTTATAGTAGTTTTTAGTACTTACTTTGAACTGAGTGTACCCCGTGCAGAGTGCAGACATCCCAAAGAACAGATAAACGAACCGATCACCATTTCTATTGTCTTTATTTGTTTCACGAAATGCAGGGACCAGAACAATAAATGCAGTTCCGTAAATACCTTGCCTGCATGTAGGCATTTTTGAACTCTTTTGTGTATTTAGACTTGGTCATTTAATTTGCGTTTACGACAATTACCTACCAAGGCGGAACACCCGAAATGACAGCCCTATCACAGAAGGCCCTGAAAAACGAATAATGCAACGTCGTCAAGGTGAAACACCAGTGACCGAAAAGTGGGGATCATGCGACAATGTTATTAGAATAATAAAATCTAGACACAATGATGGTGGCCATATATAAGTAGGATCCATGCTGAGCCCAGAGGTCAAACATTGATGACGCCGACTTCCATTGCCATGTCAGAAACACAGCGCCATATTCACATTGAGCAGGAGGACATACAAACAGCCACTGATACTTACTTATTTGACGAAGACAACAATATGGAATACGATGAGAGTCAGACCACATCCCAGTTTGACACACCACAATGTACGATGGCTAGCATAGTATGTCTATATTCATTGAGCGAACGAGAATCATGCTGGGCTCAGTGTCTGTTCTAGGTATCAGGAGAGGCCTCCCAGATGAACCTCAAAGAGTGCTTCAATGATGTCACAGGCCAGCCATCAACTTGGACAACTCGGTTGGGCAAGAGGGGGACCTCCCGGATGGACTTGGACAATGTCACAGGCCAGCCCCCAACAGCTCCACTCGACAAGAGGGAAAAGCGAGTCACCAATCCGGTATGTCTAGGTTACATGAATGAATGTTAATGTTGGACTTACTTTTATCCAGGTACTACCTGACAAGTGTCGCATCAAAGAAGTTGACTGCTCAGAGACATTACGCACCACCATGTACAGTCAAAAGCAACTGATCAACAATATGAGAATGGTCCATAGTATCTCACTGGACATCACCAATATCTGACCTGTGGGCGCTGTAGGAGGTGGAAAATCAACAAGTAGAACATGTGTGCAACATAAACGACATGAAACAGCAACTAGCAAAGGCCCATGATGAAATCAGAGTAATTCCTTCTGCAGCATGTGACCACCAGATGTACACTTATGACCATGACAGAGGACCCATGTCCAGCAGCAGCAACTTGAAGAACATATTAAAGAAACTCGCGAAGCACTCGGCCAGGGTAATCATGAGGCAATAAAGGCCACTATGCAGAAAATCCAAGAGGATGCTCACGACTACTTGGCACAAGAATGGGCATGGCAAGAAGCAGAGTTGAATGAAAAACTGATCCAACACGAGGAAGAGTTGAAGAGAAAGACAAATGAAGAGGTGACGTGAATGATTTGACAGGAAAACAGTAAATAACAATAAACAGTCTCAAGAGCGTGAGAATGCAACATTTGCTGAGATGGACCGGAGGTCACAGCAAGAAGTGCTCAAGTTGAAGGTGAGAACATGTTTCTAAAGAAATGGAAAATATACTGAAATACTCACCAGGCAGAAAAAGAGAGCGAGCTGGCCAAGATGGAATGGAGATTTTCCAGGTGTCACAGGTTTCAAGACGAGGTCACAGAAATGGATAATAACCCCAATATGCTGAGAGATGTGGGACAACCATCGTCTCCATCTGCAAAACCATGATCAGGTACCTCATGCCTTAATGCGATTAAGAGGATAAAGAAAACTCACAGAATATTGCACAGGGTTCACCTTGTATCACTAGTAGCGGAGGTAAGCATCTGATGCCGTGGACTGTGATTTAAACTTACACGATAGTAGGTGGACGAAGAGGAAGTACCTCAAGAACACTCGTCCGAACAAGACGCACCACCACATCTACAACACGACACACCTCCTGCTACCACGATGGAAGACGCAATTGCAAGAGGTGTAGAAGCCGCACTGAGATGTGTTCTAATTGACAAAGAATTTCCAGTTATCAAGAAGCACAGTCCCTGGCGGAGAAAGACGGAGGAAAAAGAACTCCAGCAAGAGAAGGTGGCCGAGAAAAGCTATGAAAGAGACTTCTTTTTGGCAAGTCAAAAGGTGGTACGGAAGCTGCGACTTACAGTGATGTATAGAGCGAAGTGCGGTGTCTCTTCAAAGATGTTTTCAACATTTCTCAAGACACCGATTTCATACTCCATCAGGCAGCTAGTCGTGAGGATGTCTACTCATATGAATATGAAGACGGCCCAGGTCCCAATTACAAAGATCTCGCCTTTGATCTCAAATGTGGGTCCAAAAGCCCCTGGAACAATAAAGTCATTGGCTTGCTGCTTGAAGAATTGCGGAGAAGGGGTGACCAAGAGAGCTGGCCATTCCGAAGGTCAGAGGCGTATATGAGGGAAGTTCTTCAAGATCATTACAAACGCCTGCGTTACAGTGTGGACGGCTGCACAACCCAAGGTTACCACAAAGGGTGGATTGGAGACTCTTGCAGAGGTGGAGCAGAGGCTGATCTCTGAGAAAGACAAGACATTGAAAGCGACTCGTCAAACAACGCGTCGGAAAAATGTATGTTCATGAACTCCATACTAATCTGGTACTGACACCTTCTCAGAAATATCTTCACAGAGTCAAGGTTCTTGACCATCTCGTTAAGTACCAGACTGACGAGAATGAGGAAAACCTCCCAGCCTGGCAGTGGCTTCAGCAACTAGTTGGGACGTTGGGAGAAGACGGCATGAGTTCAGAGGAGAGCAATGTGGAAAATGATATTGAAACGGTTCTTCGTGTCAAGAACATGACTTGGTGCCGTGCGATCAAATGGGAATTGGATATTATTGATCACCAAAGGATCATGGATGATGATATCTTTGCCCCCCAAGGTTCAAAGCCGATGAAATGGATATGCTCAGCCAGGAATCCAACGACATCCAGAAAAGAAGGGGATGGGTTGCCTAAAGCATTGTATAATGAGGAATGGCTTGCAGGTTTGACCAAGTGTCAAGTTGAGGGGTTATCAATCTCAGATGGAAGATTTAAGTGGATGAGAGTTGCGGTAGTGTAGGGCATCATTTTGTACTCCTGAAGATATTGAATGTGCAGCATGAGCGCCAAAGGTGTGGCTCACCAAGTGGGTAGATGTCAGCACTGTGCGAGATTGAAGTCAGGATGGCGATGGAATTAATGCAAGTACATACCAGTCCATGTCTCAAAACTCATCCCTCAAATTTGCATTAGGGATCGATTGAAGTTGGACAGAGGAGTCGGGCGACAACGAAAGGATGATATGGCAGTACATACTGCCGTATCAGGAGTCCAGTATGATGAACCCAGTCGAAGTCCAGCAGACACAACAGTACAGACCGTCATGTCAGAGGAGGAGAGGATAAGGGCGCGTTAGGGATCGATTGAAGTCAGATGAAGGAAAGTCGGATGAAGGAGTTGGTCAGGACAATGAACCCAGTCAAATTCCAGAAGACATGACAGTACAGACTGTCGTGTCAGAGGAGGAGAGGATAAGGGCGCGTTAAGGGTCGATCGAAGTCGGATGAAGGAAAGTCAGATGAAGGAGTCGGTCAGGACGATGAACCCAGTTGAATTCCAGAAGACACGACAGTACAGACCATTGTGTCAGAGGAGGAGAGGATAAGGGCACATTAGGGATCAATCAAAGTCGAAGGAAGGAAAGTCAGAGGAAGGAAAGTCGGAGGAAGGAGTTGGTCCAGACGATGAACCCAGTCGAAGTCCAGCAGACACAACAGTACAGACCGTCATGTCAGAGGAGGAGAGGACCAGGGATAGATGCAACAGTACAGACCATTGCGCCAAGTAGAAATTGAAGTATAAGAAAGTATACATATTAAGTATACAGGATTAGGATAGAATAAGCTTGATGGGACTTAGAATCAATTTGTCGGAAAGTACAAACACCTGCAAATAAAGTCACGTGCAAATTCCAACCCTCCGAATTGACCAAGTTCTCATTTCCCATGCGCTATGGCCCATATACTTTATCACCTCTCTTCTCCTGGCACGATGGTATGTACTGTCGTGTTGTGTTGTTGTCTTGCTTCCTTTCCATTCAATAACTCAAAGTCGCCTACCCCGCTCTGATGAGGATTAGCACCCACTGCAGGTAATCCTATTGTTGATTTTCTTATTCTTATGATACTAAGAGTTGCTTTCGGTTTTGATCACCCAGCTGCTGATTTCCACTAGCGCGCAAATGATCTCTTCCTCTTCCATTGTTATGAGGAGCCTTGTTTTTTTTTGGTTTCAAATTTATGTCTTAGCGTTTAATATTTATTTGTACCCCTGCATTTTCTCTCTGCACAACCCTCAGAGACCAGAGAGCAGACAATCGAAATTTACTCTGCCATTATGATTATATTATTTCTGGTGTTCCACAATCTCTGCGATTCCACTAAGTCCATTGATGGGTTTGTGGCCCGAAGTCAGGCCTCTAATTTAAACCCCGCATACCACAGACTTGCTTTCCCTTTTCTACCCCCCTACATCACATACAACAGTTTCTACTGTTGTTCCTCTTTCTACCCATCTACTAATTGCTTCGTGCATACTATCTATCTGTCTTGCCTGCTGCATACAACAGTTTATACTGTTGTTCATATACTCCTCCTGCCTGCTGCGTACAACGGTTTATACTGTTGTTCGTTTGCTCTTCTTGCCCGCGCAACGCTCAGTCTGCTCTCATCCGCCACCTGCCGTGCTGCTCATGGCTCCTAACCTCTGCGTCTTTGTAAACAAAGGGGCAATATTCACTTCCTTTGATGCATCCTCGCTTCCTACTGTTATTTCTCCCATCCCTCGACCCTGGAACCCAGTGTTAGAGTCTGATGGTTCTTCCAACAACATCCGAGACGCCTTAACGACCCAGTGGGCATACGAAATGCACCCATGGTATCCTATCATCCCCCAAAACCCTGTGTTTGATGGTGCCATCTTCGGGTGCCTCAATCATTCCTATTTCTCTGTGCCAATTGAGGCGACACCCGATCATTGCTATATCTTATGCAAGGACGTCTGAGAAGCATGGCAGGCTCTGGAGCAGAAGTTAGCTTGGTGTCAGGGACATCTAGCAATGAACATGCATTTTCCTTGGTATGGCCAACCCCCACGAGCTCTGAGAGATTACGGGTACTTGAGGTCTCATGTCAATGTGACGCTTGCAAAGAAGGTCGCTCTGAGATCATGCGACACATTCGTAGGTATGGAGTTTGTTCTGTTGTGATGCATTGAGGCTTATCAGTATTTTCAGGTATCGCAACTCTCTGCACATACTTCATCATGGCTTGTCGATATAGACCCAATGATGGTCCCTCAGACTGGACCTCTCTATTGACCAAAGACCCTCAATGTCCCATACCGTCTGCATGGGTGGTCGAACTCTCCTGCACATTCGTCGGGGATCTCACAGATGCTGTACCGCGCACTGGCATGATTATCAACGGTGCCCACGGTCTGGGTTGGGACGGAGATGTGACCATGTTTGAAAGCTTCAAAATTCCAATCTGGGTGTATTGGCCTTCTAATATGGTACACGATAAGGCCTGGAAAAAATACCTGCCTTCAACAACAGATATCGCTGCAGCAACTCAGACTCAGTGGGGCGTCCAGTCAGGATGGGGCACTCAGGACGATAATACTTGGGGAGTTAGGCACGATGATAATCCATCTAATGATGATCCGTGGGGAACTCAATCAAACGATCTGTGGGGCACTCAGTCGGACAATCTGGCACCAATGTCCATTGTTCAATCGCAGCCCGACCTCTCCCATTTTCCGCTCCCCCCAAAAAATAGCAGTCAGAAGCATGGTGAAGATTTCAAGGCGTTCTTTGCCCATCGGGCCACGCGGAACAAGGAGAAGGAGACGAAGGAATCACCCTCTCAACAGCAGGCACATCTAGGTCGTGAGCGTTCGGCAATGAATCATCACATGCCTGGGAGGTCTAGCACAATTCAGGTGTTTGAATGGCGACCCCATGATGATGACGAGGATGAGGATGGATTCCTGTTGCACCACCCCATCACAAAGGCTTGCGTAGAGGAAATCTGGGGAAACTACAACAAGGAAACTAGAATCTTTGATCCCTTTTCTAACCAGTAGGACTTATGTCGCGCCCTCAACCCAACTAGCATCCCTGACGGTGATGATCGGGAAGATAACAATGACATCATGCCTCCACTTCTTATAGTCACTCCCCCTGTACTTCCACCTCCTACTCCTTCCAGTTTCTCGCAGGACATATACAAATACTTCGGCAATGAGGTTTCACTTGCATCGAGACACGTGAGTATTGAAGGACTCATCCCTGTCTTACATTACCATTTTGGATATTGAACCATGGCAGCTGTCTTGTCTCCTCTGAATGTATCGACACAGATGCAAGAATGGACTAGGAAGATGCAATGGGAACATACTCGGAAGCTAGTCAGCGATTCGACAGCTGAAACAGGTTCAATCGCAGAGCCACAACGCCAAAGCATTATGAACTTCATCGCGCTTTTGGTAAACTTCAAGCAGTCTGACTCAGGCAGCCTAATACTGCCTGATGTTTGGGATTTAGGACCCAATCTGTCTCTACAAATCTCGCATGCGCATATCCAAGTTTCTTACACCCAGCTATCACAACATCAGTTCTTCATAATTGAGCCCCGCCAATCCCCAAATCATGTTGTCTGGACATTGGCTGTTCCTGACCCCGTTACCGTGGTGATGTGCCTGCGACGTAACTGGGGTTCAAACATGCAGGAGATCACGCTTGCTCTCCTTCAAAGAGGTATAGCATTTAGGACCCTGCAGCATATGACCGTCGCACCCAACTTGCGGCGTCCCCCTACTGAGCTTCGTACCTACACCTTGGGACACCGACAATTCCCCTTCCGTGCGATATACGCAGATTACGTCGTATACGAGCAGCTATGTCACAACTTTATGAACCGGCCCCGAGCAAGGGCTGCTTTTCTGCATGGGGGACTCATATGGCGGTTGGCTTTGCACAGCCTCGGTTTCAACCATCTCCCATCTGTCCTTGATGGTATCTCGCCCGAAGCTGTTCCATTTGGTCTCCTATTGTGCAGCAATGATCAGACTTACTATGATGATGGGTTGTCGGAAGAAGAAATCGATTTTATGTGCGGGACATACTACGTGCACCAGGGAAAGCTTTCCCTTACACAGATTGATCGATCGTAGCAATATTAATACTCACACTTTCTAGCTCAGGGCACGGATGTAGTAGTATCATCCTGGTGGCCTCGGCCGCATGCTTGGAATGCATCGGGCTTGAACATCGGTTTTTGGTCTGCTTGTTGCGAAGATTGGTTCCAAACCCATCTTGCCAATATCAGAGAAGGAGTTTCTTGCAAGCAACTTTTGTGCACCGATGACGCCAATGGCCCAATGACCTCCATGCAGTGGAAGTGCTCCCTCAAATTTAACCCTGGCACAACCAAGATGATGCAAAATGTTTCGGTGGCGTGTTATGATTTCATGACTAGAGCACCTGGTAAGAGTTATTAACCAAACTGCCTCATTGATACTGACAAGATTATCTAGTTTGGACTGAGTCATAGTTGTGCTGTTGTATCGCATATGTATTATAGTATGATTATGAGAATGTGCTACACTCCTATTTGCATTGATAACCAGTAGACAGAGCCAGAATATATTATATGTACTGCGGGATCAAATGTTCTGTCCTTACATATGTTAGTTGTCAGGACATGATCGGGCTACAATTGAGTAATAGATTGATCTCAGGGGTCAACTTATCATAGATGATTGCCATTTTGTGCTGCATGCTGCGGGTGATGAGCAGGCGACAATCGGGCGATTCATTTTGTCAAAGGACGAAACTTCAAGTTTCGTCATCACATCTTGTCACTGGCATAAACTTCAAAATTTTGATGACATCTAATTGTCGGACAAAACTTAAAACAGTGGCAAGGAGATTAAACTTCAAGTTTCATCTGAAGTTTTACGTGATAATTAAATTAAAAATTCAAGCAGACGCTGAAAATCTGATTATACTTCCTATTTGTGTTGACATATAGTCAGTGGAAAAATAGCTGTGGATATTTCATATTTTGGATTTCGCATACAACACTGACTAAATTTGAAGTTATATGCCCATTTTTATGTCAGTTCAAACTCCAAATATTTTCTTCACATTTAGTACAACATGTAAACCTCTCCTAAATATCGATAACCCCAATGTGTCAGCACGTAATTACTATGACCCTTGAGTGTCGCGAGGACAGTGCCGGTCTCTGCATTCCATACAACACCTGTCGAATCATCTGACCCGCTTGCAAGTTTCTTGCCGTCGGGTGAGAAGCACACAGATACCACCGTGTCTGTATGCTTCACCAGCGGTTCAAATACTTTCTGCTCGCTCTTGACGTCCCAGATGATGATGGTTTTATCATCTCCACCGCTCGCAATTCTCCTGTCATCTGGTGATATGGCCACTGATGGCACCTTGTCCTTGTGTCCCTTGAATGGCCCTCCTACCAATACTCCTTTCTTCATGTCCCAAATTCACAGGGTTCCATCCCATGAACCACTGATGACCCGTCGTCTTTGAAGAATGCGACTGCTGCCACGCCATTCATATGCCCATTCATCATCCACGTTGGCATGAGCTGCCCTCTCAAAGTGAGATACATGTTTTTTTGCTACATCCAGCACCCCTGACATCTTGTGTTGACCTAGGCAGAGAGATGGATGGTCAGTACCATTTGAAGTTGACGTGGACCATACATTTAGTATATCCTTCCATTGGGGATCTTGTGGGTGTTGAGTAGTGTTGGACCCTGCCCGTGACCCAACTTATGTATGGTGCGGTTCACCCAGAGGCCGCTACTTTTGTCCAAAAGTTTTCCCACACTCAAATTTTGTCAGGTTTTCAATTCCTCTTGGGAAAACGCACCTGTAGTTCCCACGTACCTGATCTAATTAGATGTGACAGTTGGGTGTGCTGGTGCATCTAAGTCGAGTAGCTTTTGGCTCTACACACCCAAATGAATAAATACTCAATACTGTGTGCCCTTGGAGGGTGCTGAGGGCTACCTACTAGAGGCTGCGGGCAGTGTCGGCTAGTGGCTGCTGTGCCCCACGTGCCTGCTGCCATATTTAGATCCTGCCGGCACCGGGTGTAATATCCGAAGCCATGTCACTGCTGTTGACGTCAGAACCTTCGTGCTCACTGTATGCGACAGCAAGCTCGCAATTCTCGCGACTGGATGCGTGGATTTGAGGTGGACCTTTTTGTATAGGTAGAGACTGATATTATTAGGTAGAATATGAGGGTTCAAACAATATAGTCTATGATGTCAACAATTAAGCTTCTCCCTCGCTAGTGTCCTCCTCCTCAGATGTATCAACAAACTCTGAGCTTTTCGGAGCCTGGGCAGATGTCCTGGAGGCTTGTACACGCTTGGTCGGATGACCATTCTCCTTGCCCTTCTGTTTGCGAGCTACCCCTGCATCAGAGCGCTTCTTGCGAGGTTTGCCGATGACCTCTCCTCTCTTGTGACGTGCAGCAAGTCCTATGACAAACTCATCACGCTGTCGAGGAGTCATGTGGAACCAGTGGCAGGAGCCCTCCCTCAGCACATCGCGCAGCTTCCGAAGGGTGTTGAGATCATTGATGCTTGTGGGAGACTGGAACAGGACATCCTCGGGCCAGCCCCTTAGATCAATCCCAAGTTTCTCCTTGATAGCAGTATTGAAATTTGTGTAGTTGATGCGGATGTCGCATCTCTTTATTAGAGTCCCTAAAGTGGCAGTTAATATTGATTTTAGTGTGATAACGAAAAAAAAATCATACTTAGCCCTGAGTTAAGGAGCCGTGTGCAAATATGTTGCATGTTTTGCACTGTTTCACGTTCATTGATGCCTAGTATATAGGAGTCAGTGTATGTATAAAAACATGTAACATGAAACTTACTTCGACCTGACACACACGCCCATTGTTCTAGTTTTCTCATGATTTCGTCAGCCTCGGTTTGCAAGACATCCTCCCAGAAGTCCATCACGTTGTCCGTCCCGAACCATGTCGCCTGTGTGGTGTCGTATACATGGCCATGTGAGGCAAAAACACACGCATAGATTCCAGTTCGAACTGCGAGACTAGCAAGCTACTCATTTGTCAGCTAAGTGTTAGACTGGCATGAAATCAAAACTTACTATTTTAAAAACATTGTCCAAAGTTGATTGGACATCATGCACTGCTGCTGAGTTGGTGGTGCGAACACTCATGTTCTGGAGTGCTCAATGCTCATTGAGTCTGTCAATATATTCTTGCTGATCCTCGATGTCCAGGTTCTGCATGCTCTGATCAGACTTCACCATGTCCTGGATCTCATAAAGTGAGTATTTTGCCCCGCCAGGTTGATCTGTTATTTCAATCAGGAAATGACGACACCTGAAAGCACAACAACTCACCTGCATTGACTTCCTGAGCTTTTGCATGCATGAGAGCATTGGCGAGTTGAACATTTCAATTCCCTTTGTAGTGTTTTTCAGCTCCCATGAGCTTCTTCACCTTATCTGCAGTGACGCCGCGCTCAAGTGCGAGGGTGTCAATCTTCTCATTATGCTCTGAGAGCAGTTGCTGGATGGCAGTATGCAGTCCGTCTTCGGCCTCCTTGCGTTGTTGCAACGAAATCTTGTGGGATGCTCTTTGTGCGTTGGCACGTGCCTTCTGAGCAGCATTGAGGGGCACACAAGGTGTGAGCACCGGCCAGTTGGGGTTTCTTGCGGCCCATGAGGAGCTGTTGGCATCAGGAACCGTTTCACTGGCGCCTTGTTGCAGAACATGCTCTGATGTGTCAGTCAGTAGCAAGGTCTGAGTCAGCTCGTCACAAGTTGAGTCACATTGAGACAATGAGTTTGGGGGAGTTGATATTGTAGGCGTGATTGGTGGCAAGGTCTGGGTCAGCTTGTCACGAGTTGAGTCACATTGAGACAATGAGTTTGGGAGAGTTGAGATTGTAGACATGTCTAGAGTTGTGTCATGTGGAGCCAATGGGTTTGGGGGAGTGAATGGTGATGGCGACTCTTCAAATTGGCTATCGTGTTGATCTAGAAAGTGACCTAGGGGGCATAGTTGGGGGAGTGACAGTGACTCTTGCATATTGTGCTGATTGAGAAGTTGCCCTAGGGGGGGCAGCTGCGGGTAAACATTATTGTCCCAGGTTTGGTCCAATGAGGGTGTGAATGCGTAAGGGTTGAGTCCATTGAATAAATTTTCCGTGAAGCTGAGGTGTGGGTCGAACTCCACACCATGCATGGACAGTTGGGTTAGGTCAGTTGAGTGTCCCATCGGAAAAAATTGAGGAGGGTATTGTTGCGGTGCTTTGAGCAGGACATGAGTCAGTATCAGAATCCTTACACCAAAAATTACAATCACTTACTCGATGGATTGGAGAAACCGCTGTAGCATAATGGATCCGAGTCGGGGAATACAAAGTTGGCCATGCTGGAGAGATGTTGTGCTCATGAACTCATGGCAAGAAGTTTGCGACACGCTGTCAAACAAGCAAAGGACACGTCAATTTATGTGGAAAATAAGAAAAAATATTATTACCATTGTCAGGTCTTGAGATGAGTATCACGTGCATGCCAACCTCCCCTGATGAGGCGACCTTCAACAGGGTGATGACACTGGCTGCACTCATGGGAACCAAATGACGTGCACTGATGCTCAGCATCTTGACTGGCCATTTCAAGGCATTTTCCTGAGTGAACGTTGACAATGGTGGCTAGATTGGTACAGCATATGTGTCATGGTACGCAAAGGTCAACTCATCATTTCAATTGCGCTGACACAAAGGACATACTGACATAGGAATGTAGGGTTGTATTCTAGTATCTGTACATTAGTAGGAGAAATAATGAATAGAAAGTATGTTAGCTCACACCCCAAATGGCGCCCAGCCATTGCCAGTTAGAAGAATCACATCTACATGCTGTAGGACATGGTTGTTGCTGGTGTAGTAGAACTTGTAGGTATATTGCTAAGTTATAACATATAGCGCCACATAGCATCTTACCTGCGAGTGGATGAAACAACACAGCGGTTGTTCTTGAGTACTGGTAAGTTGAATGGGATCCATGTTGCGTCGCAGCAATGAGTGGCCAGAACTGAATGGTAGCTGCCAAAGGGTACATGCTAAGGTAAGCTCGATGATACAAAGCAGACATGCACTTTGGCACGCGCAATAAGCACACCTGCATTACGTACTATTTTGGATTACACTATTTTAAGATACACAGTCATTTTGCCTCCGCTTTTGCCAGCGGCAGAGTCTTGACCAACTTACCCAGAGCCTCTAGAGGTGCATGCATTCGCTGTTCTACCTTTCTCGATCTATATTAACCCACATCGTCAGCTCCTAACATGATTTTACACGTCACTCCATGCTGCAAATCCATCGATATCACAGACAACCAGAGTACATCATCCAATTCCTCTTCGCTGAAATGGGTACTGCAGGTTCAGTGTTTGGTCAGTTCAGGGTGTTTGGTCATCAGACAACCAGAGCACATCATCCAATTCCTCTTTGCTGAAATGGGTACCGCAGGTTCAGTGGATGGTTGGTTCAGAGCATTTGGTCATCAAAGGTTGCTTCCAACCTTGCCGCAAATGCATCATTACTCACTTCCACTAGTAAATGATACATGATCGCACCTCCTCAAATTCTCCGTGAAGGTGTATGCAAATTTATCTTTCATGTTGTGTTATTATATTGGTAGGCTTTAATGTGGCTCACATTGGTCCGTCAATGCGATCAAGAGCAGTTTCCAGGCCCAGGTTGGCAGGAGGAAAGCAACAGCGAAATGATCTATCCATGTTGGCATCTGCATGAACTAACGACCATCTGCATTGCCTTTTATTAGTCTGAATGTGTTTTGTTGTTCAATATGTAGAACATGATGGGATATTGATCAACTGCGCATTATTTGGGACTTTGCCAGACCAGTGAATCATAATGAAGGGCATCAAAGTACATCTCAACTCCAAGGTCCATCAATACCAACAACTCCTCCCATGCATGGACATGCAACTTGACTGCATCTAAAGCAGATGCTATTCCATCTCTTAATTGATCTGTAAGAGGTCCCTCAACTGCACAGGCATCAGTGCATAAGGTGTATGCCTGCTGAAGCAACTCCTTGGCCTCAGCAAGCCCTGCATCACATCCTGGCTTGACCGAATCCCAGCCCTCTTGGTCTACCGCAGTCACGATCAACATGCCATTTGATTCCAACCATTCGTATTGGGTTGTCCCTGCACAGTAGCCTAGATTTAACCATAAGCTATCAAGACGCTGAAATAGATCTTGAGTATCCTAAGTGCAGACATATGTAATACACACATGACTTTAGTGAGAGTGCACTTACCAGTTCTGCCCCCCTACGACAGCACCATTGTGTGCACGACTTCACCTGTTCTTGAAGTCGGTGACTAGAAGTGCATGGTCAGCGCTCAAGTAATGAGATCTGAGAGACAAATGTACCATGCATAGCTCTCTTTCTTTGATTTAAGTTGTGCTTCTCGACACTCCTCTGCAGTTTTGTATTTGGTGCACATAATGTGAGGTGTTGAAGAGAAGTCAAAAGTTTTTTGTAAGCTATACAGTCGATAGAGCGTAATTCATGAATGCAGATTCAGCCACACTTTGGGACATAATCTTACCTTGTTCATGAATGCAGATTCAGCGACACTTCGGGACACAATCTTTCCTCAGATTTCTTCTTCAATTGCTATCAGAAATACTTAGTATTTTTACTACTTTACCTATGTAAGTTAGATACTGGTACTTGGCAGCAGGATTTCCATAATATATAGATGGTATTGGAAGGGCATTGGTAGCAGGATTTCCATAATATATAGACAGCGTTGGAAGGGCATTGGTAGCAGGATTTCCGTAATATATAGATGGCATTGGGAGAACATTGGTAGCAGGATTTCTGTAATATATAGATGGCATTGGGAGGGCATTGGTAGCAGGATATAATATATAGATGGCGTCGGGTAGCAGGATTTCCGTAATGTATAGATGGTGTTGGGAGGACACCCATAAACCAAAAGCTACAATATATCTAACTATCAAGTGCCACCCAAGTCAATAGCATCTACAAGCCCTGATAAGTCCTCCACTTGAGCCCACAGCTCATCACTCAAATGGGATGTGGAAGTAGGTGTCGAGGGAGGTGTCTGTATAGTATTTAGACTGACGGCTCCTGAAACGACCAAACTAGCAGAATCTGTTGGTGAAGAAGGGGGTTGCAAGGGGGTACCTTGTGACTGCCCTTCAACTCGGGTATTTACAATGGGGAGATCATACTATTAAGAAGCGTCAGAACACAGTTCCCAAATGATTGCAAGAAATACTTACTGAACCAGTGATTGTCTGAGTGACCTCGGTGTCAGTGGTGCAAGTTTTCTCAGTGACTGTCTCAGTCTCTGTAGCATCCCCTGTAGTCTTTGTTCAAGTTGTCTTTTGCCGTGAGAGTGTCTGCATTGTTCGGGTAGTCCAGGTGCGAGTCACCAGTGATTCTGACTGCCGTGAACCTAAACACTCGAAAATCAGAAAGAAAAAAAAAGTCAGTATTGTGCCACACATTGCAAATGAGGAGACTGGAAGCTTACCTTGGGTAGTAGCAGTGTTGGTGGAGCTCATTATGCAACTTGATGCAGGAGATTGAGGCAGTACTACTATTGAGTGGAAAACAGAGTGTCTCGTGCATATGTTTTTGCATGATGGAGCCAGTACTTCCGAAAGCAATTCTATGGTGCAAGGGCATATCAACAAACAGCTGAAAAATCAGACAGGACTCACCTCCCTGAAGATCCGACATGTCATATCACACCGAGGCCCGAACCGTGGGCTACGACCAATGCAGGAGGTGCTAGGACCAAGACAAATCAGTGCACGAGCAGCAGAAGTACAGACCCACAAGCGGTCTCGCATGCAAGGTAATTTTCATTATTAGAATTGATTTCCAGAACTGAAAAAAATGTTACCTAGCCATGATGTTGGAAGAAAAACATGCACTCAAAGCATTGGGCGAACATCCCAATGATGATATAGCATTTAATGGGTTCAATGGTGACGACGATTTCGGCACTAGCATCTTGGACGGATCCGAGTCAATTGAAATTAGCCATGCAGGTGGAGAGTTACATGAACTTACCAAACAATTGATTGGTGACTTCTGGAATGTGTGAGTAGACAGGATTTAGACTTACTGTGAATCAGTGCTGATAAGTTCAATCAGAAATAAGGTCAAGTCCCATGTTCATCGAATAGACTACAGGACTAGGCGTGATAGGACCCAGTGGTGCACTGAAGCATTTGACAAGCAGATGCCGGCATTAATGTGTGCCTACCTAGACTGGCATCTTGCCAATGTCACATCAGATGGTTGAGGTTTTTTTGCGTGTTACTGGCAGGAAACCTCTAGTGGCTTTAGAATGCCGGAGGACGTGAATGTGGGATCAATTTGTATCAAAGTCGTGGACGTGTTTCATGAGCAGCCGCTTCTATTAATGATGTACTACTTACTACTGCTACATCTGTGCTGACGTGATGGATTAGACACCAAAGAACTGCCTCTGACTATTTTGTCGACAGATTCCTTCATTGCTTCGGCACTCGTCCGCCAAGGGGTTGTCCCCTGCTCTCCCATCAGCCCATCAACTGGGGTCATAATGCAGGCCCTCAACTTTTACCGTATTGCACAGCAGCACAATCCACACTTCTCTATCCAGGCGTACATGAAAACCTTGTGTGACCTACAAGGTGTGAGTACTTTGTGTTCTCCTCGTTCGTAGAAATTTGATGTCTGCCTTAGGTTCAGTTTTACCCATATCTTTCACGTCAATTCTCAATTGCCCTTGACGTCTTCCTACAGATTCTTGCTAAGGTTGACATGCTGATGCATGAAGCCATTGGACGGAGCGACCCTAACTGGTGGCTGATGCATGTCTGTCTGGCATGTACTTACATGCTGAAAGGCAAAGCACCTTTAAGGTTCCAATGACTCTATACAATGGAAGGCAACGACTCACTCAAACGAGTGCTTAAGAAGTTTGCGCAGGACAACTCAGACAATGTACTAGATGATTGCTCACCAACGATCTGCTGAGCTGCCTTCTATGCAAGTTGTGGATAGTGACCGGTACTTGACGAGGGAGTATGTCGACCGCTTTGCAGGCAACTCTGTCAATATGCTGTCAGGTGATGACGAGGTAAGTCTCAGTTGTCATAGCTTGTTATATACTACAAATTAACTCAGTGTTAGGACAACCCATGCGCTGGCTGTTGGAATAACATGAAGGATGATAAAACCAGAAGAATGTCGGGTGTCTTTGATGAGTCTGGAATTTTCATGGCCATCTGTCGCCATGGGTTCTCTCTTGTAATTGCGGACATGGTTCAGTGTCTTTGATGAGTCTGGAATTTTCATGGCCATCTGTCGCCATGGGTTCTCTCTTGTAATTGCGGACATGGTTCAAAGTGGCGAACAGTAAGTGTCGCACTTTACATTGACTATATTGCTAATCATATTACAGGTCGAAGTATCCATTGGCTGTGGTATCCAAGCTTCTTGATGTCTTCAGGAAGGACCTTGGCGGTGGCTACAATATTGGCTGCAGGTTCAAGACGACTCTGAATTGAAGTATACTGGGTCAGTCAGTGCACAAGCTTAACCACACATCCCTTGTTGGGGCCTTTCACAGACATGCACACAAACATTTGTGTCAGCTTGATCATCTCACCACCTACGTCGAAGGTCTCGGACTTGAAGACCTCGAGGGCTGTGAACGAATGTTCTCAAAATCAAATGCGCTCGCATCCTCGGTTCGCTACTCAAGTATTTTTCACCGATGCCAAGCTATTTGCAACTATTTTCAACACACAGATGACTTCGAAGTTTATGCCAACCTCTGTATGTAACAATCCATACTTTATCAAATGTCAACTGATGAATATCTGTAGCTACATTCCTACACAACAACTATAAGCAGGCCCTCAATATTCTGCTCGATGGACAGTCGACACTTCCATGGCTCATGCGTGACCTTGGCATAATGGATGACAGTGTCTTCAAAAGCTGGCTGGCTCATGAACATGATTACCTAATGTCATTGAATGAGGAACTGAAACATGAGACCTTGCAAATGGAATACTGGCAGAAACTCGTCAATTTAGCAGCAAGCAAGTAAGTACTGCTTAATTTTCACTTATAAAACTAACAAAACAAATAGGAATGACCTAGACGCCGCCAACGCACCTTGGAGCATATCCACCCCATCCACTGCATCATTTGGATCATGTGATGTTGCAATGACTATCAGAAATGAAACCGCTCACCGCCATGCCATCGAGAACTATGAGAAAGACCTCAAAATTGTGCAGGAGGTGAGGTGAAGCTTGGGGTGAGTTGTCAATGGACACTGGAAGATACAGAATGGAAGGATGCAGGTCACCTTGTAGCAAACCAGAAATTTCAGCGGGCACTGGATTCCTTGGAAGGTTTGGTAGTTGCTCGGATCTTTGAGCTTTCTAATATGAACCGTGCAGGGACAGGTAAGTCATAATGTTTGTGTGAGCTTACTGCTTACCATAAATTTAGGTTATAAACTACAAAAACATATCGGAAAAGCTTTGCAGGCTCGCTCTGCAGCTATTCAGACAGCCCTTGACCGCTACAATGCTGCAGCGTGGGCACTTTCACCACCTCATCCAACACTTTCATGGGATGAGGTGGTTGAATATGCATTCCTCTCTGACTTCGACCTTCTTCGAGATGCCCGTCAAGATATATCTCAATGTGCCTGGGCCACACCCACCGGCCGCTTGGCCATGGATACATACTTCAAAATGCAATGTACACAAGAAGAGATTCAGCAACTCAATGTTGAGATTAAGAGAATGGTAACGTACTTGCGAGATGAGAATCTCTACCTGCACACCTGCAAGAAACAGCTTCAAACTGTGCATCCCACGCTTGCCCATCAAGTTGGCATTCATCGTAATATTCACACACACTTCACTGAACACCATCTCCGCCGCCTGCATGCCATTGGCAAGTTACTGGGCTTTACAGGGTTGTTGTTGCCAGGGGATAGTACTGAAGATTCACCCGGGGCAAGTGCTAGCGTTCCTGTTGTCTGTATCCCTGCACAGCTGGTAACCACTGTGGTTCCTGTGGTTCCAGATGGTGTGGAAGATGCTATAGAGGATCTAGAAGACGAGGAGGGTGCTGATGCTGATGGGGAAGAGTAGTCGCATGTTCTTGAAGACATTTTGCAGGTTACTTTTGATGCTTAACTCGGCCTTAGTATTGCTTTCCTCTATTGAAAATATGCTTGCAATGGATGCTATACAACTTTTAGTACATACCTACAAAAGTCCGCCATCATATGGTGTGTCCACTGTGGAGATATGTGAGCTCGCTGTTGCCCACAGCGAGCTCGAAGGTTTGAATGATGACGTGGCTTCAGATATTACACCCGGTGCCGGCAGGATCTAAATATGGCAGCAGGCATGCGGGGCACAGCAGCCACTAGCCGACACTGCCCACAGCCTCTAGTAGGTAGCCCTCAGCACCCTCCAAGGGCACACAGTATTGAGTATTTATTCATTTGGGTGTGTAGAGCCAAAAGCTACTCGACTTAGACACACCAGCACACCCAGCTGCCATGTCTAATTAGATCAGGTATGTGGGAACTACAGGTGGGAAAACATTGCTTTTGATGTGTTGAATAAAACCCCAAGAGTGATTTTTGATTGGGTCAAATTTGAGCAAGATTTTATTTTATTTTTGGGCACCCCAAATTGGCGCATTGGTAAATAGTATGTGTATTACTTGTCAAAAACCTGTGCCACTGCATCTGGAATACGTCTGTGAGATTTGTACTGTCTTGAACTAAATTTCTTGACCTGCAGCTGTGCATCAGCAGTCCCAAGTCCCATCCTGTATACATCCATCCACCTGTACATTCAATGTTCCCACCACCGGATGGTTTGGAGTGGCACTGATGCGAATGCTATGGGCATGTTGTCCTTCAAGGTGTCGAACGTGTAATCACAGTTGTTGCGAAGATATTTCTTCACCTGTCCCCAGAAATATTCAATGAAGTTCAACTCACAGTGAAACTTTGGCAAAAAAAATGCACAGGTGGCCCACTGACTTGATGACCTATTGCACCAGGGATTTTTGTTCTTGAAAGTCAGCCTGGAGCTCGAGGATGTGCTTGTGGCAGCAAGTGTCTGCCTTTTGCCAGATCTCAATAGTTTTGGGTGCAGCTACCTTCGCATATCCACTTTTCACGCCGCTTTTGACATCATCTCTGAGAGCCTTCAGATTTTCCTCCAGGTCCGTTCCTTCCAATTCCTCCAAGCTTTCATCCACGTCTGACATCCTTTCATTGTCAGAGGGCTTGTGTTCACCAGCAGTATGCAAGTCAGGCTCCGACCATATGAAGTTGACACCACCATTGTACCCACATTCAGACTCGGACTTGGATTCAGCTGCAATGGGTGGCGACTCTGGTGAGAGGACTGATGGTGCACCATGAGGCGGACACACATTATTGGAGGATGTTCGAGCTTTTCTTGCAAGCCTTGCAGCTCTTGCACGAGCTGCCAGGCTATAATGTCATTTTAATGCACAAGAACAGGATAAGTAGCAGAGACTTCTAATGCAACAACACTGCTAGTGGTTGATGCATCATGCTTTGCTCCATTTGGGAATGTGATGCATTACCTTAGCACAGCCACTCACAGGGTCACATGTTCGCATTTTCAACCACCTACTGTGGGAACTTCTCCACAACACCCAAAACATAGCCCATTTTAGGTATTCTCTTAAATATCAACCTTTCCCACACCCTCCCCATCAATCCCTGGCTCACCACTACACCACAATTAGATATAGCCTCTAGTTAAGTAATAGTATAGGTTATATACACATCATAGAACATAATAAACCGCTTTTTCCCCCTGTTTTTGTACCAATACCTGCTACAGAGCCTCTGTGAGTGTGACCTAATAAAAAACATATCAAAAACTGTTTCGCATTTTTGCCCCTCTGGTATTGTGGTACTCTATAGTGTTTAGAATATGTTTATAAATGTATATGTACCTATCGGAGCCCTCACTTCACCCCCTAGAGCGTCCTATACCATGTTCTATGCTGTACTAGCATAAAATAGAAAATAGCTATGGAAATTTTGATCTTTGGGTATATAGACTTGGAAATATGATCCCCAACATCGCTTCAATAGTATACACAACATATCAGGAGCATAGGTCAACAAGATCAGTCCCTGTGGTGCTATATACTTACCCTCTCTTGGTGGTTCACCCCCTGGGAAAACTTTTCCTGCAGCTCCAGCCCTTCAGGATGGTAGGGTGCCTGTTCCTATTGATATATATATATATTGTAAATCACATAGCTGCATGAGAATAGCAACAGAATCTGTCTGTAGAATAGAACATCTCCTCCTGGCTGCACTACTGCATATTTTCGCATTTTTGAGGTTTTTCACCACATTATCATTGCACAAACTATCCAAGCTGTTTATTTTCTACTTCTAGTACATATATTAAGTCTGTAGTACAGGATATTTGGGTGGTCTACATTCTATTTAGCTCATTTTTAACAAAATCTTCGACATAGATATTAGTATATTCATGTACTAGTAATAAATCTCCAACTTACATTTACTTTGCTTTTCACTCACTTATTTATGAATGGATCTTTCTACAAATTCACAGGTGGTATCATGGGTATGGGACAATCATGTAGCAAGTGGCTAATTACACAGAAGTGTCCTCATGAGACCCTAGATTACTTATCAGTAAATCTCCCTGACATACCCCTGATATCAATACTCTGACATATTCCTGTCTGATCCTTGCCATGAAAAGACTTAATATATGTACTAGAAGTAGAAAATAAACAGCTTGGATAGTTTGTGCAATGATAATGTGGTGAAAAACCTCAAAAATGCGAAAATATGCAGTAGTGCAGCCAGGAGGAGATGTTCTATTCTACAGACAGATTCTGTTGCTATTCTCATGCAGCTATGTGATTTATAATATATATATATCAATAGGAACAGGCACCCTACCATCCTGAAGGGCTGGAGCTGCAGGAAAAGTTTTCCCAGGGGGTGAACCACCAAGAGAGGGTAAGTATATAGCACCACAGGGACTGATCTTGTTGACCTATGCTCCTGATATGTTGTGTATACTATTGAAGCGATGTTGGGGATCATATTTCCAAGTCTATATACCCAAAGCTCAAAATTTCCATAGCTATTTTCTATTTTATGCTAGTACAGCATAGAACATGGTATAGGACGCTCTAGGGGGTGAAGTGAGGGCTCCGATAGGTACATATACATTTATAAACATATTCTAAACACTATAGAGTACCACAATACCAGAGGGGCAAAAATGCGAAACAGTTTTTGATATGTTTTTTATTAGGTCACACTCACAGAGGCTCTGTAGCAGGTATTGGTACAAAAACAAAGGGAAAAAGCGGTTTATTATGTTCTATGATGTGTATATAACCTATACTATTACTTAACTAGAGGCTATATCTAATTGTGGTGTAGTGGTGAGCCAGGGATTGATGGGGAGGGTGTGGGAAAGGTTGATATTTGAGAGAATACCTAAAATGGGCTATGTTTTGGGTGTTGTGGAGAAGTTCCCACAGTAGGTGGTTGAAAATGCGAACATGTGGTCTATGGCCTAGGTGTACTACTTTAGCATGATCTGATGCATCACTGAACATGCTAATGAGCATAGTTAATGCAATACTCATGTCTTGTAGTAAGCAGACTTAATGCATTATACCTACAGGGACTGGTGGAGCTGCTGCTTTCTGGTGCCCATTGGCCATTTTCAAGTAATACTGATCACATCGCAACTTGTTCAAACTTTCAAACATTATTCAAGCAAGCAATGACACCCAGTTCACGATCATCGAAGCTGGTGTACCTTCTGTAGCTAGGATTCGAGTCTCATATTAGGGTTAGGGTTATATCTGTCATTGTTGATGACTCGATTTGGCGCTTGGACGAAAGTAGCGGCCTCTAAGTGAACCACACCATAGGCGCTTCAAGATCAGTAAACCGGTGAGCCACCGATACTCCCAAATGTACAGGAAAGAAGCATTGGGCTTACAAAATACTACAATATCTGAGTCTCACCGGTTTACTGATGCTCACTCATGGATCCAGTGTTCTTCCATATCACGCTGTTACGGCGTGGATCTCATTTCAATTTTGTTGCTTCCATCACTGCTCCCTTTATAAACACCCGTCATGTAGCAGTAGCCCTCTATTCTGTGCACAACGAACCCGCGTGCATCTGGTACTACCATGTACCACAGTCCACTCCACAGCCATATATTGCTTCCACTCGACTCATCTTTCATCATCCATTGTAACGTGCCCTACTTTGCTATGGGGACTATATATAACAATCGCTTGGCGCTTGTGTCTAATTACTTCTGGTTATCGATGGGATGTTACATCAATGATGGCAGGCATGCGTGGTGTGTACTGATTTACTTGCCTATCTGCACGATAACGATGCGCAGATCCCCAATCAACATCAATATTGTCTACGCTACTAGCGCCAGATTTCATGTGGACAGTTTCCCCTATCTGCTTCTATCGATGATCAAAACCCAGAACCATTATCAGCAATCGCTGTGGATCCAGATGTGCATTGCAAGCGACCTGTAGTACTGTAAATGTCGTCGTTGCTCTTCATGCAGTCGTAGTAAGCAGAGTCTGGTTTCACATTCTGTCTTGCAAAACTGACTTTCTTATATAGCAAGACCTAGTCCGCTTTGTGACTACTGTATGCTCAGTGTTACTAGTATGTTTCCGAGCCCTCGATCGTAGTACATCCAAAGTGAATGATCGATTGCTGGCGACCTTGGCATACACGTGGTTTTCCCTGGCACTAGTTTGCCAATTCATATTGGCCCAAACAGACTGCACACTGCATTTTTGCTATTCCAAGGTAGGCAGTTTTCTGGAGTGTAGTGATCTGTCATTGACCGTAGACCTAGAAGCCATTCAAGGTGACGTGTCGAGCAATCTTGATCAACCTCGTTCTCTATCGCATGGGAAACCTTGCTCTTGTTTTAACTTGAGGGTGTATGGCGAGTTGTAAGTGTACCTCTTCGATCCAGCTGAGAATTCCGTGCTGACATTTTGAATCTTGATGTTTCATTTAGGTGTTTACTACGTAGTCTTTCCGTGTTCGAGCCTCTCAATATCTCTCGTGGTGGCTAGGATGGTTGCACTGATCTTAGACATCATTTTCACCGTGAGGGACGCGTGAAGGGCTGGCATGACGTATCTGTTGGCTATCGTTCCATGGTTGGGCATCGCGAGTTACTTCCAGTGAAGTTGCAGTAGCTATTGGTTGGTGATGGCATGGACCATGTTCACATATGTATATTCCCTCATGTCATCCCCACATCCCATGTACATTGGGGATCATCTTTATACATTTTTCTTGGGCACGCTTGGAACAAGACTCTCCTTACAGGATTCAGCTGGCTACTCGTGGTGGTGAAAGCCTGACCCAAATATTCACCCACGTCCATGACAGACCAGTGCACGAGAACGACCCATGCTTGGAACCCATGTTCACTCTCGCCTTCGCATCCCAAACATCGAAATCACACTGGACAGTTGAGTGACTCAACGTAGCAGACAAAAACCACATCCTCAGCTGGTGCGGTCAGCAATGATTCGATGATACAATCGCAGTGGTAATTGTAAGTAGGTCAGTGTGCAATACAAATACGACGAGCGCCTACAGTATGAATGAAAATGCATCCGAGATCTCCGTGTTTCAAAATCCATGCAACTACAATATCTCTAGTGTCCTGGCATCCATCATGTCACGAACAGCAGTCTTGTTCTTGACTTGTGCAATGATATTGTGATCTGACGCGATTCTCTTATACTCCCCACCATGCTGCTGCGCTAGCAAAAGTGCTCCAAAAGGCTCCCCAAGGCGAACGATCAACCTTAACGCTCGCGAGTGAGACGCTGAATTTTTGTACTTCCCACCATGCTGCTGCATGGGCAGAAGTGAGCCAAAAGGCTGTCGAAGGTGAGCGATTAACTTTGATGCTTGCGAGTGAGACTTTGAATTAGCTGGCTTCTTGCCTCTTGGAGAACTGCCGAGAGATCGGTCTGATGCAGACCCAGTTTCATCCATGCTCTGCGTTTCATCTGCAAAGTCAAGTAGCCCGAGATCATGACGATTCCACGGACGGACGAGGAAGAATGTCTGCTGAGTGGGCCGTGCTGACGAGAACTGAATGAGCTTGTCTTCCATGTTGATTAGCAGGTCTTGAAGACCATCTGCCTCAACATCATAAGTGAAACATGTCTGCGGGTCTTGACTACGTCTCTGTCTCAGTGCTGTGAGGGGGAATGCGATGCAAGGCAGTTGCAGCCTGCGGTCTGCGAAACGAGGAGGGTTGAGGTCGGCAAGCTTGGTATACAGTGTCAAAGCCTGCTCCACGAGGGTGGCATTTCGCAGCAACAAGACCGACGTCTGTATGTATTGTTCAGACAAAGATGGCGACGTGAATGGCGGAGATTTGTAAGAGGAAATCTCAGCTGGCAGACAGCTATTGAACTGCGATGATTTGCCGACCCAATCTAGGGCAGAAATGTCGCCCGACTGAGCAATGATCGCCTGCAAGAGGCGACCGAGCGCATTCTACTTCATCTCGCCATAGATGACAGGAAGGTGAATGCCGAAAATGCCAAATAATGAATATCCGATGTCTTCCTGCAAGGTTGTGGTGCGCATCAATGCCCATTGCAATTTCTCGCATGCGCCTGTCATCCCTGGATGGAAAGAGACGAGGGCTTGTGCATCTATGCCTGTCGAATCCTCTAACTCCTTCATGATAGCGGCACACTCCTTGTGGTTGGGAGAGCAGTCGTTGAGATATAAGCTCCAGCCTTGTATGTAGAAGAGAACAACATTAGGAGTGAGGAACTCCTGAACAGTCCATCCTCACGTGTTCCAAACACTGTTTGCGAGTGCGCCTGACTGTGCTGAAGGCGGAACATCCAAAAGGTATATGATCGTAAGAGCTGACTGACGATACCAGACAAACATGGAGTTCACTGATCGTTGGAGCTCAGCATTGTTGTTCTGGTCGATGCAGCAAGTATCGCTCCATGCCCAGCGGTGCCCTGCATCATGAGCAATTTTGCAGAACATATGCAACTTCACCATGGTGCTGACTGCGTCCAAATTGTACATGACCTTGTCCTGGATGTCATGCAGCAGTGGCTCCTTGCTTTCCCACCTATGTGATAACATGGCCCAACTGAAGTACTTCTTGACTGCTTCTTTGATGGGCTCTGTTTGGAGGGATGCATGCATCAGAGATGAAGATAAAATCTCTTTGTACTCTGTGCTGTCCATGAAGGCGTGGATCTGTGCCTCTCGATTGCATAAACGCCCAGTGAAGGTGTTAATTAAACGAAGCGGAGCATTTTCCAGTTTATCATCAATGGCTCGTCGAATAATGTCTTCAACATCAGATGGACTGAGATACTGCTGACGCAGCCCTGCAGAAGGTTTTCATGATTTTCACGTTGATGTATGAGAGGTTCGGGCTTACTTTGTATCTGTGCGCCGGGCGCCTCGTTCAACTTCCTGAGCATGGTTTTGAAAGCTTTGATTGCTTCATCATAGTACTGTGCGCCATGTAGTGCCGCATACTTTAGTTCGTACCTCAGATAAGAAGAAGGGTTGAGTTTGATCATCTGTGCATTGGCAGTATAAGCACAATTGCCACAAAAACGATGAATATTGTGCGCACTTGTTCCGCTGTAGGGAGTATCCCTACGCTAGGCTTGTATCCACTGTTTTTCCGTCCATCCGATGTCCATCCGCATCCTATCCATTCCATCCGATACTCATCCACTTTTCGGATGACATGCGGATACCTTCGGATCTCCTCCTATAGCTCACGCATCCGCTGCATCCATCCTGTCCACGTCCATTCTACCTCATTGGTATGTACTCACACACATTTTCTTGTTACTGACTGAACACAGACATATCCTCTCACACTCAAGTATTTTTCGGATAGCTTATGGCACGGTCTAGACTCGCTACCTATGTATCTATGTTCCTTGAAAATACTGTACCCTATAAGCATGGAGGGTTTCGAAAAATACTTACTTCATGTAACTTCCTCCCACTTTTCCTGCACCCTACCAGAAGATCGCTTTGACCTATACCCACTATCCATCTAACCTTTAATGAACTCCCTTTGACTTTGATTCGCATCCCGTCCGATCCGCAAGTGCCATCCGCTCCATCCGACGAATCTGTATGTTTCGCATCCTATCTGTTTCATCCGCTTTTGCGGATCCTTCATCCTATAGGGTCGCTTTAGACAGAGACTAGTGTTTCCCCAGTAGCAATCCCCTTAAGGGTCGAACGTGCTTGTTTCCAAGCGAGGCAGCAGGCAGCAAAGACCCAACTGTGTAGTAGATTGATTTCACTCCACTGCACTTGTTGTACCCACACCGTGTCATGAAGGGCCTCTACATAGAGGTTTTGTTCTAGATGTGCCTTACTGCGGTGCGCAAAGAGGGACTCGCATGATGGGTCAAGCCCGATTCCTGCCGAATATAGTTCAATAGCCGCCTTGTGATTGCCTGCAATAACAGCCTCATCTCCCTTGGTGAGACATCGCGCGGTACAGTCTTTCTTGAAGACTAAATGACCCCAGAGTGAGTGTTCAGTTCGAGTTGTCTGCAACCCAAAAGCACTCACCGGTAAACCATTCGAGGTAGCTGTCCTTCGCATCTTCATCAATCATGCCCATCATGTATTGATGAGATTTGACAGCTTCAATCACTCGATCAGCGCGGAGGCATGCGTCGCAGCGCCTCTGGTTGACAGTTTGCCATAACAAATCCAAGTTCCAGCCGAAGAGCTGTCCAACACATCATGAATCAGTGAAAGTGTGCTCTTTACCAATGTAGTGACGCACCGCCGTGAAGATCTTCAATCTAGATTCAAAAAGTGCTCTGCGACCGAACAAGTTGGTTACACTGGGAATGATATTGTCGAGTCGATCGGTGGCTTCGCTGTACCGCCCATCCTTGAAAGTGCGCATTGCAAGCCGCACACGTAGATAAAACTGACGAACATGCTCGAGAGTCAGAGAACTCATAAGGTCCAAGATAAAGCTCACATTCAGAACACTGCAGAGAAGCGCATCCGAGCGCTGATATGTGGTGGCGAGGTCTTCAACTCGCCGCGTTGCCTCATTGTGGCAATTGGCATTGAAAATTGCATCAGTCTGGACAAAAATCGAAGTCTTAGTATGACTAACTAACTAACCAACTAAGAAACAGCGAGGACAGTACCTCGATCAATCGTAAAAGATCGGTGGTAATTAGATCATGATCCGAACATACAAAAGCGAGATGGAAAGCTTCCATCGCATCTGAGAGCTGTTTGTTACCACAGAGGGCGATGCCCTTGGAAACGTAGCCCAATAACGAGGGTTGGATGGAAATGGACTGTGCCACCAAGTAAATTTGATGTCAATGCATCACGATAAGCAGCACATCTGACCTTGGCTGAGTCTTGAAGTGCCTTGTCCCACTCGGAGTTTCGCGCCCTTACAACAGGGCGATTGGCATAGGAGTTATGGTTGTTGTCATCCGCGTCGATCTCTTGGGTCAGCAAGTCTTCAGCGGTACACTGAAGGTTCCCAGTAATGCATGCATTGTGAAGTGTCGTGTTTATATCAAGAATCTGCATGAACCAAGCTCATGTTCCCTGATAAGTAGATGAATTGAAGGGAGCTCACGTCAAATAATGAGTGTTTGTCATCACAGCCTGACACTTGTTGCAAAGAATGGGGATTTGCACCATCATTGCCAGAGAGCTCATTGGTGTCATGACTGCGCAGCTACCATGTATCGCAGCCAAAAGCAATATGAATGAACAGACAGGCCACAAAATAATGGGTGATAGCGTACTTCTATCTCCTTGATAGACCAGAGCAACACCTTTCCGTTGTGATCTCCACCGATAAGCAGTTCTCGATTGGGAGAAATCGTGAGACACCAAATGCTTGTGGTGTGTTTGAGCGGCTGACCTATGTGCTGGTGCGTCTTTGTGCTCCACAGCCGCACAGTTGTGTCATCCAAGGCAGTGACGATGAAAGAACCATCAGATGAGATGGCGAGCGTGGAGATGTATTCAGTGTGACCAGTGCAAGGCTGACCAATTTGGTCTCCATTAGATGAGTTCCAGAACTTGACTGTTTTGTCCCAAGACGTGGAGACAAGTTGCTGACCGTCAGGCGACCACACGATCATTCGAACCAAATGTTGGTGAGCGTTGATTTTGAGAAGAAGCATGGCGTTGTAGGTTCCCCAAACCAGAATCGTACAGTCCCATGATCCGGAGGCTAATTTCAGCCCATCTGGGCTGAATGCGACACTGCACAACGAAGCATGATGACCTTTGAGTGTTGTGAGGACACCGCCAGTCTCTCCATCCCATAAAACAACAGTGAAATCACTGGACCCACTTGCGAGTCTCTTGCCATCAGGGGAGAAGCACACCAAGTGCACCTCGTCTGTATGCTTCACCAGTGGATCGAATACCGTCTGCTTGCTCTCAACGTCCCAGATGATGATGGTTCTATCAGCTCCACTGCTTGCGATTTGCTTGTTGTCTGGTGATATCGCCACTGATTTCACCCTGTCCTTGTGTCCCTTGAATGGCGCCCCTACCGATGCTCCCATCTCCATGTCCCAAATTCGCAGGGTTTTATCGAGTGAACTAGTGATGACCCGTCGACTATCATTGAAGAATGCGAATCCTGTCACGCCCTTTGTATGTCCTTGTATCATTCGCATTGGCGTCAGTTGCTCTTCCGTTGTCTGCGCCAGCACAGGATGTCTTCTCAAAGTGAGATCAGCTTCTCTTGCTGCATCAGGCATGTCTTCGAAGAAATCTACGATGTTGTTCCAGAAGATATGATAGTCAAAGTCTCCGTCCACTGTGTGCCAGGAGGTGAGGTTGGAAAGTGCAAATCGAATCTGTAGAATTCATTTAACTACACAAGTAATAGAGACAAGGGTTGATGCTTACTTGACAAGCTGCATACGTGATTGCGCGAGGAGTCACCTTCCTCATACCTATGATAGAGGCAACACATGTCTTCACTTTAGCCTGATCGGATCATCTCTGAGCGCGCCAGTTGTTCTCAATAATGTCGGCACCCTCACCCTCACCATCCACTTCATTGGCAGATGAGGGAGATGTAAAGATGGCTTTTAACCCCTGCAATGCGATGAGCTATGGATCAGTTAGAAAATTCAGGCCACTCACCATAACCAGCAGCCTCGACTTGAAAAGACTGCGCTCCAGATTCTTGGCGTCAGCTTCATAGTTCTCATACATGAATGACGGCCATGAATTCTCAGAAACGATAAAAGCGATTGTACGGTCATGAATGCCAGCCTTAACACTGGAAGAAATATCAACATCAAGTAAGTGACGACTCAGATCATGACATACACTGGGTCCTCCCAGCGCCATTCTGCTGGGCAGAGCAGTTTACCGCACGCATCGCTCGCGAAACCTCGATGGTGCTTGTCGTCGGTCCTTATGAGTGGAGTTGGACAGTACTCAATATTTACCCAAGAAGCAATGAGGTCTTTGAGAGTTCCCGTGTCATCGCCACAAGCTGAGTCTGCACCTCGCTTGAGCTACATTGAAATGAGCAAAATGAGTGAAATGAGCAAGACGTGTGACAAAATGTTTTGAAGAACCTGTCTTAGCGTGTCCTCTGTATCTTCATGGTCGAGACATGCCAGCTTGTCGTGAACCCAAGGCAGTGCCTTGGCAAGTTCGATGTAGCCATGTTGAAGGCGGTCTTGTCTGTTCACTTTGTTAAACAAGCATAGCAACTCGTACAACCATAGACACTTACTCCAGAGTGGCGTCGCTGCCACTTTCTTCACAATGTCAGTCATTTTCGGCAATAAGATCCTCTATGGGAGTGTAAAGGTCAACCATACGACGGATTGCCCGTCCCTGTGACACATAATAAATTGTCTTCCTACAATGAATCATTAGTTCTGGCTAACATCAAACACATGCACACCTTTTCTTTGTCGCCTTGTCCTGCTTCAACATTTCAACCTCCGACATGAGGGAGGCGATCTGTCGTTTCGCCCTGGCACGAGGGGAAGTCGGGACACGCAGGGAGACATTCGGAGGCTGGGGACTGCCCGGGGCGCGCACAGATTCCGACATACCGGATAAGCTTGACAAATGAGCAAAGATTTTGGGAGGAGAGGTGCAGAGAGGGTGTGGAAAAGTGAATGTGAGGGTGAAAGAGCCTACGAACATGTCTTATATGCCTGTGGTCTACGTCATTGACTCATCTGAAAGTAACCTAGCCTAGTCTACGTCAATCACTTGTCTGAAAGCAGCCTAGCAGCAATTAGCTCATGTTCTAAAGTCTCTTTTTGGGTAGTCCTGGGAACTGCCGTTTGCTAATTACAAAAGGGTTCTTTCCACCGAGCATTTCTGGGCCGTTCCCTGAGGATAGTCGCATGCCCACTAGGGTGACCAAGCCTGAAGGATCCTGGAGTGGATTCCATTGGGCAACGATGCATCTGGCCATCGGCATGATTGCTGTGACAACAATGACTACATACACTGTGCGTGAGTGATGATGGAATTGAAAAGCGGGAGTAGACGTACGTTCTGAGCTGAATGTTTTCTTGAGCAATGAATCTTTTACTGTAGTTCATCAAGAGCCTTGGCTTCACGTGCAAGCCCATCAAGATCGTTCATGTGTCCGTGGTGTCATTGGAACCCGAGACGATGTGAGTCCCATCTGGTGAGAACGAATTTCACCTGTAAATGTATGAATAAGTGTCAAGTCAGAAGCGCGCATGAATGCTTACCCGTACAGTGAATGAAGATGGCTACGTCCCGAAGGGTTTGGTCCCGGAAGTTTTGCATGAGCCTATCCAACACGTTGTTGTACCGTTGAATTGTGTCATTTGTTTCCAAAAGGACATTTTTTGTGAGTCTTTCCCCCTATGATGATGCAGGAATCAGAATGAGCAAAATGAATAACTCATTGATGACTCACAGAAGTTCTTCTTGTCCGAATAATCCCTGATAAAATGGGCACATTCAAGGGTTTGCTGAGAGATCTGTCCCAGAATAGGGCTCATCGACGGAATCTGACCGAGGATCTCATCTTGAATCATGAAGCTGTAAACTTGACCCAGTTTCTGGAGAAGGTCAAGTACTGCTTTGTCACGATCCGCTTGAGCAAGCACAATCTACAAAGGTAACCCCTGAGCAGGAGACTGGAATGGCAGCGAAACCAAACATACCTTTGCTGCACAGGACAACATGCCGAGTGCCATTGATGTACCTGCGGAATGGGATTAATTCGGTCCGGAACGAGAGGAGGAACCCATACCTCTGTGATCTTGCCGATAACATTGTCGAATATCTTGAGGGGTAACATGTTCGGGCAGCTGCCAAGTCAATTGAGAAGGCTCGCCCAACGAACCATGCTAGCATCATGGTTGGCTGTCAGAATCATGCCCAAGGAACATCTCCCACATGCCCACCAGTGTTTGTGAGATGCCACTGTAGCTGGAAATGGTGACTAGGTCAAAATCAGGATCATTTGTGAAATAAGTCGCAGGTTATGCTGTACCTCCGGTACTATGCGAGTAGGATCAGAAGTGATGCAATTTCCCGAGGCTGAAGAGATGCGCGAGAAAGGTAAGACAGGAAGATATGAGCAGTATTCACCATCATGGTTCTGCCAGTCACGTCATTGGCCTCAACAGAATTTGTCAGCTAGAAAGCTCAGGCTGTGAGAGAATCAGTTGAGAGTGACTGTGACGTCTAATGTTTAACGGTAAGATAGGACGTATCGGATTCTAGCAAGGAGAGATGGGTAAGAAGTAAGGACAGAATAAATGAGAGTCAGGGGATAATATAATCTCAAAAAGAGAGGTCATCAGACACTTCCTCAATCATTTCCACATCAAACTCATCGTCAAGATCATCATCATCTTCCGTGTCAAGTTCATCTTCCCCAATTCCATCACATTTGTTGTCTGAAACCTCTTCACCAACTTGGTTGACATCCATCTGTTTCGTCATCGTCATCTTCTTTGTGGGCCCTCGCCATCGGTCTTGCCTTGGTCAATGTCCATACCTTCCAAGTTCACTGGTGCTGTTGACTGGAGGCCAGAACAGTCTCTAACCATCCTCCGCAAAGCTACTGGGTGGCCTACACCTAAGTGCGTATAATGCAAGAACATGTTGCGATCAACAAAACTAGCTCAAAC